GGTTAAATTGGCTTATTATATGGAACGGGACTAATGTTCACGTCCCTTAATCACCTTGAATTAATGAATTAATTTTGCCTTTTTCAATTCATTTTTGTTATGATTAGGCATGGTGCTTCAAGCACTCATGAACAGCTAAAAGGTTGAAGTTAGGTTTGTCGGCTTGAATAAAAGAATTGTAAATGGAAATGTTCATGAACAGTTTTCTTAATTATTAGTGATGAGATTATGGATTCTTGGTTTGTATGAATGGATGGATGGTTGGATTAGTGTTTTTCTTTATCGATTGTGTGAAGATTTTGTCTCTGTCTTAAAGTCTTACGATGAGTATATACAAAACAAATTTTTTTTTTAGAAGATTCTTTGTTGGTTAAGTCGCACAAAGAGAAATGTTTTATTTATGAGGCATAATAGTGTATCTTTTAAAATATTTTGTAATTAGACTTAGTATTGTGCTTTTTTTTCTTTGTATGAAGAATATATACAATATTTGTTTTTATGTCTTTATGGAGTACGTAGAAAACAGAACTTCTTGTTGTTGTTTTTTTTTTTTTTTTTTGGCACGTGTAGGGTTTATCTTGTATGATAAAATGATCAACTTATATGAAGTGAAGAGCGTGTTTGTAATTTACTGGATCAACTTGGTCCTTTTTTTTTTTTTTTAATTGTGTAACGATTTTTGGTAAGTATTCTTATAAATTGTAGATTTTTTTTAAAAAGAATATCTTTCATTAGAGTAAATAGCTTTATTTTTAGAGTTTAGTTTGCAAGGCAGTGTCTTTCATTAAATATTTGTCATTTATGTTTCTCTTTATAGGGGAGTAAATCATACCCAAAGGTGGATAGTAAGGCAGAAACAAAGATATCCTATCCGTAGAATGCTTTTCCATGTAGGATCTGTGTAGATGTGTTTGGAGTAGACAGATCCTTTCATTTAACTTTCATAAAGGACAAATGTCGTTTTTTTTTTTTTTTCCCCCTAAACACATCAACCAGTGCTTCTGTTTACATGATATCTCGGATTTGATCATCCTGGAGACAAAGAATAAGAAATAAAACGTAGGTGTAATCAACACATAGCTGCGTGACTTTAGGGTTCTATAGGTTTTTTTTTTTTTTAAAAAAAAAGAGGTTGCTTACTTGCTTCTACCAAGAATTTTCTTATGAAGTAACAACATCAACATTGAATAGGAAATTGTTCCAAATGAATAATGAAAAATAATAAAAAGAACCTTTATAAATTATAGCACTATAGTAATAGCCTTTTGCTACAAAATAAACTTTCATCACGTATTTTATATTAATAATACTAATGTAATTATAATAAAAACATAAATTTATTTTATTTTAGACAAATTAGGATATTTAAATATGTACAATATCGCTAACTATAAGGAATACAATTTTTGAAATCTTCTAGTATGACATAAATAATTTGTTTCTAGATCAACTAAATTTCATCTAATTCTAGTTACGAAAAATATATTTTTCATCCGAGGTTAGTTACAAGCAGTATAATTTTTAAAATGTTCTAATATGAGATAAATAACTTGTTTTGAAGTCTATATTAGTTTATAGTGTTTAATTCAAGCACACGATCCATTTAACAAAAAATTAAAAAAAAAAGGGTTCAACACATCTTGTGTCTCTATACTTTAACGAAATTATCGTCATAATTTCTATACCAAGATATAATATATAACCGGCTTTATATTATTGAAAATTGGTGTAAAATAGCTCATTCGTTATCTTTTTCTATTAGTTTGACTAACTTTCGTTAATTGACTTACGAATGATTAATACAATGTCGACACTTGTCAATTTGAGGATGAAAACATAATTTTATTTTTAATTTTGTTTTTCTAACTTGGTTAGTAGTTAAAATCATTTTAAAAGGATTTTAAAAACATAAAAACTAACCATGGTTTGTTAAATTGAGCAACAAATCCTCATCTTACTTTAGCAAACCTAAATCCCCAAATCAATTAACCCTATATTGTCTTCTTCTCTTGCTGCAATTGAGTAACAAATCTTGAATAATTTATTTGTTGATGCAATTCATCAATTATGTTGTGCTTTTGTTTTTCCTCATCCTACTCTTCTTCCTCGTCCTTTTCTTCTTTCTCAACAACATTAAGCATAGTAAGATATAAAAAATTATGCTTTTTTTTTTTTTTTTTTTTTTTCATAAAAAACCTGGGTGGAATTATGGGTAATAACTAATTTTTTTTTGTTCACCTATGTATCCTGCAAAATCGAAACTGGTCAAGAGAAGTAATGGTTTGAACAAGGAAAAACAGCTTCTGTGACTTACCTTGGCATAATTCCTCGGTATAATCCCAATCATATGCTTTTAAATATTTGTTAGTTTGGTGCTCAATTATGGATCGAAATGTCTTTACGTGATTTTCACACGCACTTTAGACCAAAGGATAACAAAACTTGGAGATATGCATTCTTATTTCCCTTTTCAAAGATACCCGATGAAACTGTGCAAAAGAAAGTTAATGGAAGGGCTAATTTTGTGAGTAAAAAGAGCTTAGTATTTAGTAAGAGCAGGCAGGCAAGCATGAAGTTCTGCTATGCGTTGAAAGATCCAATTTAGCAGTTTTGCTCTAGGTAGCTCCAAAAGAAATTCAGCCTGTGAATAATTAACAAAGAAAAATAAATAAATAAATAAATGTTAAAAGACAATGTTTAAATTCCAAAGAGAGCTTTAAACAACCATAAATATAACTGGTGGATTATATTAGTGCTATAAATAATTTTTTAAAAAACTATTAAGATACATTGTTTAAATTACGAAGACAGCTTTAAACAGCCCTAACTATAACTGGTAGAGTATATCAGAGCAGTTACCTTGAATCCATAGTGATATAGAAGACAAAAGGAGTGGAAACTCAAACTACATTAGTGATGTTTTTCCAGCAATTATACTCTTATGTTCATCATTGACCAGCTTCAATTTTTCAGGATACATAGGTGTCCAGAAAAAAAATTGTTATTTTTTAGGATAATTGATTAGTTTTGTCGATTACTTTTCTGTCTAGGTTCAACTAACCAAAGAGAACAAATCACAGTTAAGACTAAAGTTTTTTTTTATCTTTTTTATTTCAATTTCAAATGATCTAAAATGATTTTAATTACTAACTAAGTCAAGAAAAATAAAATTATGTTTTCATTTTTAAATTGATAAATGTTGATATTATATTGGTAATTTCGCAAGTTAATTAACAGAAATTAATTAAAGTAACAAAAAAAGATAACAAATAAGTTAATTTGTACTAATTTTCAATAATATAATATCAGTTATAGATTGTATTTATGTTTTTAGAAACTATGACAATAATTTCGTTGAAATATAAGAAAATAGAGTGTATTAAATCCATATAAAAAGTGCTAGAGCCTATGGCCTTGTCAGCGGTAATCTGGTGGCAAGACGTATCCAAAGCCACAAAAAGCAAAATGGAACAATTGAAGAATACTTTGATAGACTGTTTATGGGCCTGAGTGAGAAAATGCAATGCCAGTGGCTAAAAAATCTGTGCTTAATTTGGTCCAATTTCTACGACTTCAATCACATTCATGGGAGCAGGCAAAAATGTTGTGAGTTTGGGCTTTAATAGAGACCATAACACCAATCTTCAAAGTGGACTCAACTGAATTTTATGTCTGAATTTTAATAGAGAGAGAGAGAAAGGTTATTTTATAGACATCACTAATGCAAACTGCCAAACATTACGTTTTGGGAAATTAAATAGAAGGAAGAAAAGGAAAACAACTCTTAAAAGGGGAGATTCTGTCACCCCAGCTTTCAAAATCAACACAAGTTGAATAAAATAACAAAGTAGTGTACCTACCATCAGAAGTCATGATTTTACAGTTGGACACTCACTCACTAGTCTCTGGTCGGTTGATCCGACAACAACTCAGAAAAAGACGCAAAAGAACCGTGTAAAATCATCGATGCATCATCTTCAAGACAGTGCAATACAGATAAGAAACAATAGACATAAAGCTAGTTGTCACAGTCATATGCGGTAACCATGTCTTCCTTCAACCACTTATCAGATGAAAGACAACATAGTTATGACTGTTTATTGTTTCCTTAGGACAGTAGATCCACAACTGTACCACGAAGTATCCTTATCCATGGCAACCTATCCAACCCAAGAGAAACTCCTATCTTGTTACGTCTTCTACGGAAGTGAAATTGCTTGGATGCTACTGTTGATGGCTGCCAGAAAAAGACATCGAGAAGACAAGACGTGTTTCACTTCTACAAGAGGGATTCTTTTTTTATTTTTTTTTTAACATTTAATGTCCACCTGTTTCAAGATTTTCTAGTACAGTTTAGATAAAATCAGACAAGTACACAGCCAATTTCATATGATATTCAGTCGAAACAACTTGTAGATCAACTGGTAGTCTATAAAAATGAAGAATAAGAGAGTTTTTACTGGTCACGAGAAATAAAGATTTGTACCACAATCTTTTTATTTTGTAAATATGAAAGAAAAAATCACGAGCCAACCTTGTGGGATTTTTTTTCTTCTTTTAATTTTCTAACATTTACGATCCACATTTTTCAAGATTTTCGAGCACAGATTAGATAAAAGATGAGACACATTGTTAGTGCATAAAATGAAGAGTAAGTGTTTTTATTCGTTACGAGAAATGGGATTTAAAACCAGGATCTTTTTATCTTCTCGTAGGTGTGAAATGAAAAATCACGAGCCAACCTTATGGGATTTTGTTGGTCCCCCATGCAAGTATTTCTAACTTATAAATAGAGGGAGTACTGCTTCTTCTTCGCCATCCAAAGCATCAATCTCCTCATTGTCAAAGAAAAAGAACAAACAGAGCCCTTTCAATTACAACCAACATTTCTTCGTAAGATCGGAATCAAACTAAAGCTCAAGCTCAAACTCTCTTCTTGTTCTCAAAGAGATAGAATAAGGAAAGTTGATCGTTTTAAGTTGGCTTCCAAAAACCTTGCTATGGAAACGTCAAGTGGAACGCAAAACAATGGTGGTTATTTTTCTAGAGGATGTAGGTGGATCAAGGCCTTGCCTGAGAGATCAAAGGCTAAGATAGTTGAATTTGCAAGGAAAATAAAGAAAGTCGGACAGGATGACCCAAGAAGAATAAATCATTCACTGAAAGTAGGACTAGCCATCACATTGGTATCATTGTTCTACTACTTTGAACCTCTCTATAATGGTTTTGGTGATTCTGCAATGTGGGCTGTTTTGACTGTTGTGGTGGTCTTCGAATTCTCCGTTGGTAAGTTACTTAAGCTAACAGTCCATGTTTATCTTCGAAATTTAAGGAAACTAATGCTAATATATGGCTGCTAATCAATTATAATGCAGGAGCAACACTTGGTAGAGGTCTCAACAGAGGTTTGGCAACATTTCTAGCAGGAACTCTTGGATTTGGTGCTCATCACTTAGCCATTCTATCTGGAGAGAAAGGTGAGCCCATACTTCTTGGGCTCTTTGTCTTTGTACTGGGTAAATATCAATCACCAGTCTAAGAAAGCACTATGTTTTTCATTTTCTTTCTTTCAATCTTGAAACAACTTCAGAATTTTGTTGTGACTGGCTGGTGATGTAATGCAGCTACAACGGTGACATTTGTTCGATTCTTTCCAAGAATGAAGGCAAGATATGATTATGGGCTCCTCATATTTATCTTGACATTCTGTTTGATATCGGTATCGGGTTACCGAGATGATAAAGTGCTAGACATGGCTCATAGGAGAGTCTCAACCATTCTTATTGGTGGCCTTACTGCTGTGTTTGTGTGCATTTGCATTTGCCCAGTATGGGCTGGTGATGATCTTCACAATCTTGCTGCTACCAACATTGAAAAACTTGGGATTTTCTTGGAACGTTTTGGGGTTGAATTCTTTCATAAATCAGGAGAGGGGGAATCAATTAACAAGGCATCTCTGCAAGGCTATAAAAGTGTCTTAAACTCGAAAAACATAGAAGAATCTTTGGTGAGCAAAAACAACTATCAGAAATTAATCTCCTGTCTTTCAATTTCAATTTCTAGAATACAGCTAAAATAACATTAAATCTTACCATCTTTTTTACAGGTTAATTTCGCAAGATGGGAACCTGGTCATGGCCGGTTCAAGTTTCGTCATCCTTGGAAACACTACATCAAGATTGGAAGCCTAACTAGGCAATGTGCTTATAGAGTTGAAGCTCTTAATGGCTACCTCAATTCTGACATTAAGGTATGAACTCTGTCCACACACAAATCTTTACACATTATAAAAAAGGCAACTACGTCATTGACTACTAATGTGTTTGAAAATGGAATCAATTTTTGCAGACACCACCAGAAATCCGAGGCATAATTAAGGATTCATGCAAAAAAATGAGCTCAGAATCGGGAAAAGCATTGAAGGAAATAGCATTGGCTATCAAAAGCCTGACTCCACCATCCTCTGCCAGTCCTCACATTGTAAAATCAAAAAATGCTGCCAAGAACCTTAAGTTCTTGCTCAATACCGACCTATGTAAAGACATTGACCTACTAGAAGTAGTACCAGCTGCTACTGTCACTTCTCTGCTAATTGACGTGATCTCTTGCACAGAGAAAATTGCAGATTCAATTCATGAATTAGCCTCCCTTGCTCAGTTTAAAAACGTAGAACAAGAGAAACAAAAATTACCAAAGGAGGGAGAAATGCAGCAGGGTGCTAACAAGGATACGCATCATCATGTTATCACAATTGAGTTGCCATCTCCAGTTAAGCTACAAAATGGGAATCTGTCATCGTCAACAACTAGTTGAAATTTGATAATGTTGTAAACATTTTACTAACACATATAAAATATAGCATTTATTTTATGTAAGCTAAACAATGCTGAGTAAGAAGCATTTTGTAACCAAACCATGATGAATTTTTTCAGAGGAGATCATCAATTTTTCTGTTCTGTTATTGCGACTAGTTATCATAAAATTAAAAATAAAAAAAGTTCTCTTCCTGTGATTAGTTTGGCTTGAGCAAATAATAATCTGCTTACATTACATTGTTCTCTTTCTTCTTTCAATTTTATAATATTTATATAGACTATTTAACAATGTTAAGTATTAACTTTATTTAACATATAATTTTAAAATAATAGTCATTTAAGCATTCATATATTGCAATGCCATTAAACATTATTGATTTTTCTATAATTTATTTCTCTTTTTTTTTTTGACTTCTTCTTCAATCATTTTAATTATTATTTTGCATTTTTTCTTATTTTATGAATAATATTCTACGATAGGTTGACAAGGATAATAATGTCCGAAATATTCTAAGAATAGCTATATAAAAATTTTATAATGTCATTATCACTATATTAATTATGTACATATCAATCAATGTATTCATACCAAAAATCCATGTACAATATATATATTTTATAAAAACACATAAATTATCATATTAATCTATTTGACGTTACCTCTTTTCTTAGAAAAAATATCAATTTTTCACCATAAATGTTATGGCTTACAAGCATTATTTGCAGTTCTTATAGTTTTCATTAGTATCTAAAACTTTAAAGTAGCAATTCATAGCAAAATATATTAAAATTATTTTTACTATTCTTATCAATAACTTCTAAATATTAAATAAGCATTAATTTATTAAATCTATTATTTAAAAAATCCCATTTATATTAAACCTCAATATTTATACAAAAGTATATAGTCTATTTTGATAGTTTGATATTATATGGTTCTCAATTTGATGTAATAACTGGGTTTTAAATAACATATTTTGCTATGTTATTCATATTTTAATTTTTAATAAATCTAATCAACAATTTAACGAACACTTTAATAATACAATTCATAAATTTTATTGATAAATTAACAGTTAATCACAATAATTAATACTATTAATTTTTTTGTTATCTAAATATGTTCTTTTAATGTCTATCCACATATTTATACTTTTTCTAAGAGATTTAATAGTATTATTTTTTCTATCATCTTTGTTCTTGTGTAACCATTAAATTGATTTTCTAAAATAGTTAATAGCTCGATCTATCTTTATACAATAATATAATTCTTTAATATATCATTATATCTTTAATTGAGTCGGTTTTATCTTCGATTATACATTAAGTTTCAAATCTATTTTTTATTAAGATTTTTATGTTAAACTATCAGAATTATTTACGTGATTTGCATATAAATAATTTTTATCTCTAAAATATCCTTATAAGCAAGTTAAATAAAAAGTTTTTATATATAAATCACGTGGTTAATTCTCATAATTTAACCTAAAAATCTTGCTAGAAGAATAAATTGATTCAATTATGAATATAAGAGATTATCCAAGAATTTCACTATTATTTAAGGACAAGAATATCCAAGAAGAATTATTCATTCACTGAAAATAAGACTAGCCATCACATTGGCGTCCTTGTTCTACTACTTCGAACCTTTCTATGATGGCTTCGGTGTCTCTGCGACGTGGGCTGTTATGACTGTTGTAGTTGTTTTTGAATTCTCAATCGGTATGTTTACTTCTTCTTTTTGGCCATGTATCACATTCTTTATTATCACGAAGGAATTCATTGCTGATGGTTACTAAATTTTAACACAGAAGCGAGCCTTAGTAAGGTTATAAACAGGCCTGCAGCGACAATCCTAGCAGCCACTCTAGGATTTGGTGCTCATCGCTTAGTTGTTCTCTCCGGGGAGAAAACTTAGCTTCCACTCATTGGATTTGTCGTTTTCTGAGTAGCTAAAATACCATTGTTATATATGTGTGTGCGCATGACATGTAGTACTAAAAATATAATGTCTATACTTAAAATTCCAGATTTTCTTAATGACTGATTGCGATGTGATGCAGCTGCAATGGTGATATTTCTTCGATTGTTTCCTCATATGAAGGCGAGATATGATTACGGGTTTATGGTATTTATGTCGACGTTTAGTTTAATATCAGTGTCGTGGGTTACCGAGATGATGAAGTGCTAGACATGGTTAATAGGAGGGTCTCCACCATTTTTATTGGTGGCTTTACTATCGTGTTTTTGAGCATTTGCATCTGCTCAGTTTGGCTGGTGATGATCTTCACAAACTTGTTGCAGCTAACATTAAAAAACTTGGGATGTTCTTACGAGGTTTTGGGGTTGAATTCTTTCGAATTTCTGTAGAAGGAGAGTCAAAGAAAGCTTCTCTGCAAGGCTACAAAAGCATTCTGAACTCGAAAAATACTGAAGAATATCGTTGGTGAGTAACTGAAAACAAAAAAAAAGATCAGAATTCAGAGATTGTTGGGTTTCCTCCTAATTGGAGGATGGCCCAAAGGTTTGCTTACATGAGTTTAATTTTAGAGCCCATGTGGAGGAGGAATTTTTTAATCACTTAAAAGGTAATTTTGGTATTTCTAAATAAACTCTATCTTCTCTTTTATTATGAAATCAGATTAGGAAAGAAAAAAAGAGAGAAAAAGGAGAAAAGAAGAGAGAGCCCACAACTTTAGAAAGAAAGAGGGAAGAAAATTTCAGCATAAACCAGTAACGCTCAAATTGAGTTTCGGGTTTGTTGACTCGTTGGATCAAGCTCAAATTTGATAAGCACGTTCAGAAGAAAAAGACGCACATTCTGAATGATGAAGATCTGATTTTGAGTCTTAAAGAGTGAGATATGATGCTCACAATAGTGCTATTTTCCGGTGCAATCCGAACTTGGTTTCTTCTCTTTTCTTTGTGTATCATCTATTGATGTGGTTTGTCAATGGTGTGTGACCTTTGATGTTTATGGCTGATTATTACTCTAGTTTAATCTATAGAGAACTTTTTGTATTATCCATTATTGTTGATAGTAGAAGTTATTGTGGACTTTGGTCCCGTGGTTTTTTCTTTCTCAACTTGAGGAGGTTTTCCATGTAAAAAATTTGTGTGTTCCTTATGTGATTGGAATTTATTTTTCAAATTATTAGTTATTTGCTTTGGCTTGGGTATTTGGTTGTAGCATGTGTTTGATTGTTTAAGCATGGGCAAAGAGGTTCCGCTATGTTATTTGTGTTTCTTTGCTTAACATAGATCTTCCTTTTTCTTTCAATTTCAAGAATGCAAAAACTCAATTAACATTAAATCTTTTCATGTTTTTCAGTGCTATTTTGCTAGATAGGAACCTGGCCATGGTTAGTTCAAGTCGCGGCATCCGTCAAAACAAGTGCCATGGAAGCCTAACTAGGCAATGTGCTCATAAAATTAAAACTCTTAATGAGCACCTCATTTACAAGCTTCAACATTCAAGTATGTACTTTTCTCACCAAAGTTTTTTGCCTTTTGTACCAAATTCAATTGCTAATGTTCATCGTGGAACCAATTATTTTCGGATTCCACCGTAAATTAGGAAAAATTCGGGAGTCATGCACAAAAATGAGATCGAATTAGGAAAAGCTTCGATTGAATTAGCAATGGCTATCAAAACAATGATTGCGCTATCCTCTCACTACCTTTACATTATAAAAACAAAGATTGTTGTCAAGAATCTTAAATCTTTGCTCAATACAAACTTGTGTAAGGACATCCGACTCTTGGAAATAGTATAAGTAGCTACGAGTGGTTTTTTTACTAATGGATGTGGTTTCTTGCTCTTATTCTTTATTTGGACAAAGGTTGTGTTTTGATGTCATAATATTTATTGGTCTAATCTATAGCTTTTATTAAGATCCATCGATGATAATTTAGAACTTGTCATTGAAAAAATGTTAATGGTTGCCCTTGATACCATAGATTTGAATTTATGACCTTTAAATTTCAGATTGCTCCTCTTCGCATTCTTGCATATAAACAATTAAATAGCATAAGCTAGGTGCCAGCAATCGCAACATTATTACGTACATGAATCCTTCAAAGAAGCTTTCAATTTTTCATGTGTTGCTAAAAAGCCATCTTTTCCTTTTGCTGTAAAGTTACCGGGACATATGTCACTCATAAATACGGACTTTGTTGTCTCTCCGTATAGGAATCCTCATCCAAGATATCAAAAAATTGCTTCCTTGCTTTCACTACAAGCAATAGAAATGGCATCCCCAATTCATGAGAATGCCATAGGAACTTGCCCTAAAAGATGCCAATGGCTTAAGGCTATGCCATTTAAGTTATCCACTAAGGTAGTTGAGCTCGTGAGGAAGATAAGGAAACTAGCAAGAGATGATCCTAGAAGGATTATTCATTCATTTAAAGTAGGATTAGCTCGCACATTACTTTCACTATTCTACTACTTTGACCACTTTATGATTGTTTTGGTGTCAATGCAATTTGAGTAGTTCTAACTATGGTTTTTGTCTTCAAATTTTTCATGGGTAAGCTTGGCATGGATCAACATGGTATTGTAAACCATATACTTTTTTAGGAATCTATCATCACCGCTTGGCCAAACCCTCTTTACTAGCCATCAATAATAGTCGCTAGCGACAAACCCAACCAAAACCTCAACATTGCCCGACCACCGTTATCATTGGTCTCTATCCATTCATCGTAACACTACCCGGCTACCCAAAGTAGCCATTAACCCATCGCCCAAAACGTTTATAACTCGTTACACTTCTAAAAATTGATTTCCACTTTTGAACAGTAGATAGTGGCGAAGGAAGGTGAGAATGGAAGCCGAATCGAACAAAAATGGCTTTTAGATCGCTTCGCCCAATTTATTAGTTGGAAAAATATAATATCCAAATTTTGTTTTTCTCGTGTGATTTCTGCTTTGAATTGGTGGACTGAACATAAGCAAAGAAAGGAGTCTCATTGTGCAATATGCATTAATTTCGGTCTCCGTCGAGATCAAATGAAGAGAAACCGACCTAAAAGGAGCATTTTAGTAATTTCACATTCGAATCGATGCTTTTGGCGTTCTTTTTATAGTTTTAACGACTATTTGGATAACTTTTAAACTTGATTGTACCCACATATTACTTTAGATGAAAATATTATAAATTATTTCTATTTGATATTTTTAGATGAATGAGATATAAAAATAAAATTTTGTTTATATTTGTGATTACGTTGTTGCATATCGAGCTTGAAAGGACTCGAGACCTGTGGTGTCTTTTAAGAGAAATAAAGTCAATGTCAATACTCTACGATGAAGTTGGAGGATTAAGAATGAGTTTTAATTTTGAATAGATTATTCGCAGTAAGTGCCGATCCTAGTGTGCGCAAATACAATTGTTATTATGTAATGAAATAATTGGATGATATTGGTGCGTTAACTTAAATTTTTGAGTTGGTTCTAATTACCGACACTCGTTGTTACTAGTTTTGGTTGGATATGTTTGATTTCAAATGAAAACGGTGAAACCTAAAATTTTGTAGGTCCAAAGATTGAAATCACATCGGTCCGAATATGAATCGGGCCATTTTTGTCGTTGTTGATGAATGCGTATGAATTTGATAAAAATTACAAGAATTGACATCGCATCCGTTTAAAATTATGGTTTAGACCGTCTAAGATGTAATGGTTTGGTCCTTGTGTGAATTTATAATTTTTTTTATTGTTTGCTTCCATGTTTGTTGAATTGTTTGTATTAATAATATTTTTGTTCATATCTTAGTCAAAATATGATTTTTTAAACTTTTTGTAGTTTTAATTTGATTAAAATTTTTATTTTAATGGTTTTTAATTTTAGAACTATTTTTTTTTGTTTCGTATAATTTGCTAAATTTGATTCGAAACATTTGATAATTTGCATACCTTTGTTTTACATAATCTCTTAAATGATTTTTAAGTTGTTATTGGCATGGCCCAGTTGTTGTCAATTGAATTTATGTTTTTATTTTTTATGTCGATGTCGACTTAATCCCGATCACTCGTTAAACAATTTTTTTTTTAATCCATCATATTTTACTTAGTGATTTTTTGAAGTTATCATAATCTATTTTGGAATGTTTTTCTTAAGCTATTGTCTTTCTTTTATGAATGTGATTTTTATTCGATGTTTAATATCAGTAATTTATAAAAAATAAAAGAAAATCAATTTTTCAGAGACATTTTCTCATTTATAAATACTTTTAGTTTATTAGTCCATTTCTTAATATGCCAATCGTTTCGAGATTTGACTCGGATTTGATGTTAAATTGACAACATTCTAAAATTTTGAGGCTTGATGTTAATTTAATACGATTTTATAATGAAAAAAAAATCAATTTTTTAAAATATTTTCTCGTCCACATCCAAATAAAATACCGTTAGTTATTAGATCATTCCTCAATATGCTAACGAGTGTCGAACTTAATTGGATCCAATGCAACCCCCAATCTTGAAGCCTCGATGTTAATTTAATATAATGCCACAAAAATAAGTAAAAAAATCAATTTAACGTAAATGATAAATAAATTTGAAAATAGACTTATGAAATAATTTGAGAAATATAATTTTTTAAAGGTATTCGTACGAGTATCCTAAACTCGGTGCCTCCTTTATTTCTTGTTCGTCTTTCCTCGTGAATAAGACCAGCTTGGCTCTCCACATCTCTGACCCAAGATGCAATTATGTTTAGAATTATATTAAGTCTTTCTATCTCTTACTTCTAAAACTATTTGGATTTTTTTCTCTATATGAGCTTGCTTCTTGGATCTGACTTTGGTCACACTAGTAGTCTTTAGGGCCTATAATATGAGTTTCGTAATTAAAGTCTCATTGGATCAAAATTAATTTGTTGGGTTGTCAGATCCAATCAAATTTGAGTATAACCATAGAAAAATTATTATATGTATTTAGTCTCCTGTATAAAATTATGGATCATGTATTAAAGAGCTTGACCAAGCAACTTTAGACACTATTCCTATATAGGAAAAAAAACTATATAAAACAAAAGGTCAATAGCCATTGTTTTAAATAACCCCTGTTTCATTATTTCTAGGAAATTTTATTTTTTAAAATACAGCAGAAGGATGTAGAGCGTGCATTCTTCAATAAACCAAGGCGCAATGGAGAATTAATAGCGGGTACTGAAATCAAACCCTGACACTAATAACCTGAATTTCTGCATCCATACTTGAATTTCGCTTCACTGTTCCCTGGTGAAGCAAATGGGGTTGCTTCAGTGATAGTGTAGGTTCCATGCTCTGGAAATGAGCCATGGTAGCTAATTCTTGGACAGCCTTTGAGATTTTCTCAATGCTTTCGACAACCTGCAATAGAAGCAAAGCAACTGCAGCCGCTGGCACTATATCCATTAGAACAGCTCCTTCCCATATGTTCATTTTTAGAAGGAACTTGATGTTTCCAGCAGCAAGTTTTGCGTTTGCAATGTGGGGATCAGCTGATTTTGTTCTTCTCGTTCTTTTGGTTGCTGATGCTAATTCCTTCAAAGCCTTACCACATTCCAAGCTCACCTTTGTGCATGACTCTTGACATTTGTTTCTGATTTCTACAGAAGTCTGTGAAAATAACGTAGAAGTTAAACCTCTGAGAAAGATATTGTTAGAAATATAGATGCAATCTAGTAATAGGCATTCATATTTTACTTGGTTATCTGAGTAAAGGTGGCTGTTAAGAGCTTCAATTTTGTATGCACATTCCCGAGTTAGAGTTCCGATTTTCAGGTATTGTTTCCAGGGATGACGGAACCTGAACTGACCATGGCCCGGTTCCCATCTTGCTAAATTGGCCTGCAAAATGTTATTATCGTTTTCCCTATCTGGTCAAACTCATGAAAATTTCCTCGGAGAGAAAAACTAGAACGAAAACAGGATTTTAACTACCATGGCTTCTTCATTGCTTTTTGAGGTAAGAACACTGGCATATTCTTGGAGAAATGACCTATCTTTACTTGCTTGCCTCTCCTCAGAAACTTCGAAGTACTCACTACCAAATCCTGTATGGATATGTGATCCAGAGGTTTTGGTGTTTAAAGTTTATCTTAATGTCTATATAAAAAAGCTACTGTACTATTGGATGCCTACCTTCTAAATAATTCCCAAGTTTCTCCATGTTTCCAGCTACCAGATTGTGAAGATCCTCTCCAATCCAGACAGGAAATATGCAAATACATATAATGATGGCAGCAGAACTACCGATGATGATAGTCGATAGCCTCATGTGAGCCGTCTTTAGAACTTGATCATCTCGATAACCCGATACTGATACTAAACAGAAGGTCAATATGAATATGGTTAGCCCATAATCATACCTTGCCTTTACTGCAGGAAAGAATCTTGTAAATGTCACTATTGCAGCTGCAGGTAACGACAAAGATGAAATGTGTTCAATAATTTGAAGCAGATATAATTTTATTGATCGCTCTAATATTCTTAAGACTAAATTGTACCTATTACGAAGACAAAGATTGCAATCAAAATGGGCTCCCCTGCCTGACCCGAAAGTGTTGCTAAGTGATGAGCTCCAACACCCAGAGCTCCTGCTACCAAAGTTGATAGCATCCTATTTAAACCTTTTCCAAGTGTAGCACCTGAAATAAATTGAACAAAAACAGACAAAAACATAGCTTTAAGAATTTGAGCACAAACATTGAAGTTCTTGCAAATTGATAGATTCCTAAAATGGTACGTGGTTTACCACTCTTATCATTATGATCTATGCCAACCTTACCCACGGAAAATTCGAAGACGACGACCACAGTTAGCACTGCCCAAATTGCGTTGACACCAAAACCATCATAAAGTGGTTCAAAGTAGTAAAATAGTGAAACTAATGTGAGAGCTAATCCTACTTTAAAGGAATGAATAATCCTTCTAGGATCATCTTTTGCTAGTTTCTTCAGCTTCCCCAGGAGCTCTACTACCTTAGTGGATGACTTAAATGGCAAAGCCTTAAGCCACTGGCATCCTCTAGGGCAAGTTCCTATGTCATTCTCTTGAATTGGAGATGCCATTTCTATTGCTTGCAGTGAAGGCGAGGAAGCAATTTTTTGATTTCTTGGAGGAGGATTCCTACAGAGGGAGACACCAAAGTCTCGTATTTATAAGTGACATATGTCCTGGTAACTTCACAGCAAAAGGAAAAGATGGCTTTTTAGCTACACGTGACAAACTGAAAGCTTCTTTGAAGGATTCCTGTACATAATAATGCCGCTGCTGCTGGCACCTAGATTATGCTATTTAATTGTTTATATGCAAGAATCTGGAGAGGAGAAATCTGAAATTTAAAGGTCATAACTTCAAATCTGTAGTATCAAGGGGAACCATTAATGTTCTTTCGAGGACAAATTCTAAATTATCATCGATGGATCTCAATAGAAGCTGTAGATTAGACAAATAAATAATATGACGTTAAAACACAACCTTTCTCCAAATAAAGAATAAGAAAGATGAACTTTGCAGTGAATCCAAACAATACATTTGCATCTCTACCTCTGCACTACCTTTGTAATTACATTATGATAACTAGATTCACCTCCATGAAATTAATCACATATGTCAGACAGCTACCAACATTTTCTTTTCATTTTTTCAGATTCACATGCATACTGGCTCCAAAAAGCAGCATGAGAAACCTTTTGCAAGCAAGCAGGGTCGTTTATCCTGTTTGTGACTATATCCGCAAACATTAGTTACTGTCAGCCAAAAGTATGAGAAACAGGATTTGTAACCAGAACCAAAATGGCGATATATATTTAGGAATAGAGCCTTTCATTTCCAGTTTAGTCTGCCTTGTGCAAAAACTGAAAAGAGGAAGACACTATTTGCAACCAATCCTATATCTTCCAGGAGGTCATAGCAGCAAAATATACTGGCTGCATATTTAAAAATTGATGAACTTCCTAAAAATATTTATGTAGTTGAATTAAGAAAAAGAATTCTTCAGCAATCCAGATCAAAGAAAAAAATAACTTAGTATCAGTCTACAGAATATTACTGATAAGTATAAGACATCTTCTAGTGACTTATTTTCTAACATAACAATTTTCTACTGGTTGGCAGAAAGAAATTCTCAAAGTGCGGTCTAAGTGAAGATGGCTATTCAACTGTAATAACTTTATGAGATACGCCGATGCTATTACATCCTTGTGGTGCTTCCTGATTAGGTGACTTGGGCTTCTCTTGTTCTAGTTGATGTTCTCCGCTCTCGAACCGTGCAAGGGAGGCTAATTCAAGAACAGAATCTGCAATTTTCTCTGTGCAAGAAACCACATCCATTAGTAGACAAACCACTGTAGCTACTGGTACTATTTCCAGGAGTTGAATGTCCTTACACAGGCTTGTATTGAGCAAAGATTTGAGATTCTTAGCGGCATTCTTTGATTTTATAATGTGGAGGTAGTGAGAGGATGGTGCAGTCATTGTTTTGATAGCCACTGCTAATTCGATAAAACTTTTCCGGATTCTGAGCTCAATTTTTGTGCATGACTCCTGAATTTTTCCTCAAATTTCTGGTGGAATCTGAAAGTAATTGGTTCCACTATGAACATTAGCAATGCGATTTGGTACAAAGGGCAAAAAACTTGGGGAACAAAGTACATACTTGGATCTCATAACTGAGGTAGTCATTAATAGTTTCAATTCTGCAAGCACGTTGCCTAGTTAGGCTTCCAATCATGAGGTACTGCTTCCACGGATGCCGCAACCTGAACTCGCCATGGCCAGGTTCCTATCTAGCAAAATTAGCCTACAAAACGTGGAAAGTTTTAAAGTTAGGTGAGTTGTTGAATTCTTGGAATTGAGAGTAAGGATTCTTCAGTATTTTTTACAGTTGCTCACCAAGGATTCTTCCGTATTTTTCGAGTTCAGAATGCTTTTGTAGCCTTGCAGAGAAGCTTTCTTTGACTCTCTCTCTCTCTCCCTCTCTCCAGAAATTCGGAAGAATTCAGCCCCAAAACCTCCTAAGAGCAGCCCAAGTTTTTCAATGTTAGTAGCAACAAGTTTGTGAAGATCATCACCAGCCCAAAGAAATGTCACCTTTGCAGCTGCATCACATCGCAACCAGTCATTAAGAAAATCAGGAATTTTAAGTTTAGACAGTATATTTATATATATATATAACAGTGGTATTTTACCTATTAAGAAAACGAAGAGAGTCCAGTGAGTACAGGCTCACTTTTCTCCCCATACAGAACAGCTAAGCGATAAGCACCAAGTCCTGGAGTAGCTGCTAGGATGGTCGCTACGGCCCTGTTTATACCCTTACTAAGGGTTGCTCGTACGTTAAAATTTAGCAACCATCAGCAATGAATTCCTTAGAGATAATAAAGAATATGATCCATAGCCAAAAAGAAGAAGAAAACATACCGACTGAGAGTTCAAAATCAACTACAACAGTCACAACAGCCCACATCGCAGAGACACCGAAGCCGTCATATAGAGGCTCGAAGTAGTAGAACAAGGACACCAATGTGATGGCTAGTCCTACTTTCAGTGAATGAATAATTCTTCTTGGATCTTCTTAATCCAAATTTCTTTGCTTTCCTTGCAAATTCAACTATCTTAGTTTTTAATATTTCAGGCAAGGGCTTAATCCATCACACACGTGAGAGGAATGACCCTCATTATTTTTCATTGCAAAATCCATTTCCATAGCAAATTGTATGCATGATTGGTTGAAATCTACAAGTGCGAGTTTATTCGAGAGAAAGAGAGGAAAGAATAGCTTGATATTATAGGGAACACCAGCATAGCATCCGTTCATTGCAATGAGTAAATTTATTATTATATTACTACGTTTTAACAATTTAAATAAATCAAAAATATAAGCACAAAAAAATTATATATATGTATAAACGACATCATTTTAAGCAAAAAAAAAAAAAATCCAAAACGATGCCGTTTTTGGTTTCTGTGTAGTCGGGCTTAACCACAGAGAAATCTCTTTCAGTTTTATATATTTATTAATGAGACTTTTCCATCCAGTTTTTGTACATTTATCAATGGGACTTTTAGCTAGGGGCTTTGCTTCTTGAATTTGACTCTTCTCAACTGCCTTGAAACAATTTCTTTTCTTTCTAAAATGATTTTTATTTTCCGAAACAGTTAATTGAAATCCAGGATCATGAGTAAATTCTTTAAGTAAACCAACTAAACTATGATTTTGGTGTACGTATAGCAGCACAATTGTTCTATCCTTTTGATTTTCCTTTTGGAAAAAAAAAACAAAAACACCCTTAAAATGAAGGTTCTAAATTAAGATAACACTACTGATTAACATAAAACCACTTTTGCTAGGTGCATACAATTCCTAACTATTACACTAAATGTTAAGAGATATATATATTTTGATAAAGAGGATGTCCGGATCGGTTTACGCGCACCTCGACTAATCCCGTGGATCCTAAAGTTAACGACCATGTAAGCCTCCAATGACCATAAAAAACAATCGAGACTCGAACCCTAGACCACAGCAAGAGCAAACCTCTTGATATCAAGTTTTTGTCGCTGCACTACCCCTTAGTGGTTAAGAAATTTATATTTTTCTTCTTGGAACAGCTGGAAAACACGTTTTCTTCTCTGATTTTTTTATTTTTTTATTTTTTGGGGTTCCAGAACTATCGTAATCCGCTCCACGGGTGAAGGCATTACTTGTGCAACTTCTAACTTTGTCTGGAAAGGTTGCCAGACCAATCGAATTCTGGTTATTCACATGCATAAACCAAGTTTAAAATACATTTGTTTTTTATATGTATAATTGGTGGTTTAGAATGTTGATCAATGATTTTACTCCTTAATTATCATTCATACTTCGAATCATAAAAGAAATGGTGAGAAAAATAATCTCCTATATGGATGTATTAATCCAAACATGAACGACTTGTTTAACACACTTAAAATCCATTGAAAAAGACATAATCCCTGTATTCAAAAGCTAGCTAATTGAAGATACTCCTCAAGATTTAAGACCTAAAAAAGACATTAACTTCTTGTCAGTAAATTGCACTTAATTTGTGGAATATTCAACTAGGAAATTAATTTGTGATTATAAATAAAGAAATAAGAGGTACTATCATTTTAGGATTTGCAACCCACTTTATGCCTTGGTTTGAATCAACATTTGTAAATGGTCCAAGTGCAGTTGACTACTTGGATATTCATGAGGATTTGGTCCATATATGGGCCATACACTGATTAAATTATAAATTAGTCACTGGAGCTTTGTAAAACAAATTAAATATTTTTTTTTCTTCAAAAACTAACTAATTAGTAGTTTTTGATAAGTGCTTATTATAGTTAATTTAATATTATTTTATTTTTAAAAAAATGTATTCTTTTGTTTTTAATCAATTTTTCATATTTTTTCTTTTTTAATTTATTAAAACAAAATAAAATGAAAATAATGAAAATTTAAAGTTAAAAATAAATTTTAAAATATAAATAATTACTATGTTATTGAAACTAGAAGGACTAAAACGATATAAATAGATTTAAAAGTAATTTCTTAGGGACTAATTTAAAATTTACTTGCCATACTATACATTTTAAATACAATACAAGAAAAATATACACAACTACCTTACATAGCCTAACGTGGGAGGTGATCTCCAATGTGGGTTTACTACACTCCCGCTTTCTTCATTTTTTCTAAACTGGCCATTTTATTTTAAAAAAATACAAAAGAAAACTTTCCTTTTCCTCTTCACAACTTCAAACCCAAACCTTTTCTTTTCTTTTCTCTTTACAAATTCCGACTTCTTTTTTTTTTTTTTTTTCCCTGCACAGCAAGTCTCACATGCAATCATTAATAGATAGAAGAAATATAATTTGTCGAAAAAATTTCCACCATGAAAGAAATTTCTACTATATCCACGGGAGAATTGAACATGGAAAATGGTTTTTCAAAGTTTAATTCAAAACTTCTCTTAATGATAACACATTTGTTATGTTTCCTTATCCGTGAGTTTTATGTAATTTTATATTCATAATACCATGTATATATGGACTTCTACTTTTTGTTTTGTCATGGATAATATACATTATTCATTTGTTTTTTGTTTCAATTTGTTCTAAATTTGTTATTGATAATTAGGTTTGACAATTGATTATTTTTTTCATTAAATTTCTTAATTTGGCAGATTTCATATGTTATGTTTCATCGTATAATTACTTCTTAAATTTTAACTATTGTCCCATAATTTTGGTACATTCGTTTGAAAGTTACTGATCATTTTTTATTTATAATTTTTAACGTTGGTGGTTATAATTTTAATTATTTTCTATAATTGGCTTTCTATTTATACTAATTTTATTGTTAATTTTGTAAAAGAATTTTTTTTTTTTTTAGGATGCTTAGAATATTGTACTTAATTTTGTACTAACAGTTTTTTTCCTAATGAATTTCTTTTAGTTACTTCATTTACAATTATATTTTATGAATTATTGTTATTATTCTTTTGTGCGGATTTTTATCGTGAAGGAGAATTGACTTGATTTATGCTTGATATTTATTTTGTCTGATCTTCTTAAAAAACATGGGTATATTTGGAAGTTTCTTTCTAGAAACAATTATAATATAAATTATAATATAAATGCATAATTGTTACATTTTGATTAAAGTTGTTATTTTCTCTTATTATTATTATTATTATTACCACTACTATTATTATTATTATAAATTCAGGTTATTAATTTTAAATTTTAGTGGTTATTTATGTAGAAACAATTTGAAATTGCTAGCTATTTTATTTTTTGTGCCATTATTAATTTATTATTCATAGTGAAACTCAAAAATACTTGTTAAGGGAAAATTTTTTTTTCATAAAAAGTTAAAAATTATAGGGCCAACTAATACATTTTTGTTTGAAATAATATAAACAAGTTAAAAATTGAAGTACTATATAAAAAAATGAAAAATTAAGATTTTATTTACCATCTAACTTCAACCAGTGAGAATTAAGAATTTTAAAGGCACAATAACGATCAAGGTACAAAGCAATTTTTGAAGAATGTAGGGCCGTAAACTATTTGATTACGGATGAAATGGGTTTTTTTAAAAAAAAAAAAAAAAATTAAGGATAGAATGGTCAATTAAAAAAATAGAGAAAGTGGGAGTGGAGTTGACTTATGAAAATGCCAACATCACCTCCACTGACAGTTATGCATTCGGTAGTTTTCTCTAGTAAAAAAGGTTTAAATTTTAATAATTTCATTTTATTTGATTATTATGCATTAAATTTTAATAATTTCATTTACAGTCATGACCAGATGCACATTACTCCGATATTTATTAGATTTTTATACATGTTTCTCATTATTTTAATAAAAAACTTCATCATCTGATTCTAACATCCACTTATCCAAAGCCTCTTTAATTTACAAATTACTAAAATGTAGGAATTTAAAGCAGGATATTTGGTGAGTGAAAAGGATTTAGTTGTTTTATAAAACAACTTAAAAGTATCACAAACCTTCCTTATCATAATGCAATCATCTTTCGTCCGTAAGTTTTAGCCTAGGAAATACATCCTTAAATTTCAAGATTGTTTGAATTATTAAAAAAGTTGATCTTTATCAAGTTTTACAACCAATGCATATTTTTTTAGCACCACTGATTCTTAATTAACAGACCATATCAATAAAATTTTCAACCCTAGATGCAGTGGCTAACCAATACATAGCGTTATCTCGAATATTTCCATTTTTTTCCTATCACTTGCAATCCATATTTCACAATTGGATTCAAATATGAGCACAATATCTTATATGCATATAGTTTCCATTAAGCAAACAATGGCCCTCCAATTTACCAACAATTTTTTTGAATTTTACTATAATTTGTGTTGCAATTTTCTATGGTCACTATTGACTGGTTTGTCTCTAAATGCCATGAAACCAATCCATCTAACAATTCTTCTGCCAAAGCATCTATTATATAAGATGTAAGAACATACACAATTCTATATTTTTCATTAAAAAGGTATGATGTATAATTGGATTGCATCATATATGTACATATATTTTAGTTAATAAAAAAAGATACTTTAATATGTATTGTTGGAAGACCTAACAATTGTCACTAAAATGTGTTGTAATCCTGATATACCTTCTTTTTTTTTCTAGTTAGAGATCCATATGTCAATTTTAATAGCAACTTCATTTAATTTTTCGGATAAGATCCTTTATAACTTTTTCTTTTCGATATCATAAATTTTCATGATATCATTATTGATCATATTACGAGATATCATTTTGAAATATGGCTAAAGGCATGCAATAAATTTTCTAAATCCATAATGCCCAACAATAGATAAAGAATATTTGTGCAGGATGATAGCACAAGCAAGATCCTTATGAGATATCTCTTGATCAAAATTGAAATTAACACAAGGTCACTTTTTTTTTTTTTTGTTC